AATATGCTGACTCTCTGTAAACCGCTTAGAGAGGCCTGAAAGGCCTATGAAGCGGTATATAAGTCTACTGCTATTGCTATTGCTACTGCTATTTTCAAAAGAGAGAGCAGAAAAGCAGCATAGGTCAAAGCACTTCATATTTGCAATGACTGACAGTCTACTTCAGGGGTGTCAAACTTGTGGCCCGTGGGCAGGATGCGTCACGTGCTGGCCACGCCCACGCCTGGTTTAGCGAAGGCGGAGGGGAAAGTTGTGAGATGTCACATGACGACAATGTGACGACGTGAGTTTGACACCCCTGGTCTACATCCTGACCTAGTGAGTTGGCCTCCTCTTCATTCTCTTGCTTTATCTCCAGGGAACGCTTCCCCTTCACAATCTCCAAGGCCTCTTCCTCCAATTGGGGAGATATTAGTATCGTATAATGCTGGGATTGGGATGCCTGAAAACAAAACAAAAAAGGGAAAGTTGATTAAGTTCTGCACCAGGCTTCCTCTCCAGTCCTTCCAAGATGAATAAGATTCAAGCCCTATTGGAAGAGATGGGATTCAACTTGGAGATCAATCAATCACTCAATCAGTTAATCAATCAGAATAGAGCTGGAAGGGACTTTGGAGGTCTTCTAGTCCAACCCCCTGCTCAACCAATGATGGTGAATCTTTTTGGCACCAAGTGCCGAAAAGGAAATGCGTGTGCGTGCTTTTCTTGGCCGCAACCCGGAAGAGAAGCTGCCCAGGGGGGCCATGCACGTGCCAGAAAATGAACTTCCTGTTTCTGGTGCACACATATGCACCAGCCAGCTAGTCTTCCTGCTACTGGTGTGCATGCGTGCACAACGATTAGCTGGCAAGTGCGCAGGCTCAGGCTGGAAAACGGAAGACCAGCTCTTTCAGATTCCAGCACTGCTGTACGCACGAAGGCCAGCCGATCATCACACGTGCATGCGCACCAGAAGAGGAACGGGCGATGGCTCGGCGTGCCACTTTGGCCACACATGCCATAGGTTCACCATCACGGCCCTATACTATTTCAGCTATAAGCCCTAGTTAAGACCCCACCCACTCTGTTGCACCTGGTTGCAGGAGGTGGGGCGAGGCGCGTGGGTAAAAATGAAGCTAGGGCAGGGAAGGTGGGTGGAGCTGCAGCCAGGCCTCGCACACTCTGATACCTGCCTTGCTAGCCACTTCTTCCGCAGCCACTTGCCGCTGTTTGCGCACGTCACCCCTGGCCTTCGTTTCGCTGTCACGAGGCCTTCAGGAAAGGAAGCTACGGATTGATGCACGTGACGCCCGCCGACTTTCATTTTGCCATCAGAGCAGTGCTGGGATTCAAAGTTTTTTAATACCGGTTCAGTGGACATGGCTTGGTGGGTGTGGCAGGGGAAGGATACTGTGAAATCTCCATTCCCACCCCACTCCAGGGGAAGGATACTGTGAAATCTCCATTCCCTCCCCACTCCAGGGGAAGGATACTGTGAAATCTCCATTCTCTTCCCATTCCAGGGGAAAGATACTGCAAAATCTGCATTCC